GCTTTGTGGTGCAGTCATGCCCAGGTAAGTAAACTCAAGAAGCCCTCTTTGTTTTGGCTGTCAGGTGGGTGATAAGTGGTGAGGTCAGGGTGTGGGAAGATATTTCCGGTTGACGTTGCTCCGCTTCCCAGAAACAAATTCACTTTTGACTTCTAAAGGAAGGTGTGTTTGTGAGATCAGTGGACAGAAGATCCAAAAGGAGTCAGGTTACTCGTCTTTAACAGGCAGCCCAGTGAGCCCGATGCAGAAGAGAAACCCGCCATGACTCATTCTGGACGCGTTGTTGTCACAAAATACCCTGCAGATCACAATTTAACTGAGAAACGTGCAACAGATTCATATATGGAAATCTTTTGCTCTTTGTTGAGATTTCTTCTACCTGACATTTGATCCACTTTCATGACAGGCATCAAACACCCGGAATGCTTCGCCGTAAGCGGTTAAAAACACGTATTAATGCACTCACACGCACACTCATGCGGTCACAGTATGCACACAGAAGGGTGGAGCCCTCCCTTAGTACTTTTTCCCCTTACCGGCGGGGATCAGATCTTGGCTTGATGCGTCGCTGTGAGGAATGTAAAGTGAGGGTTTTCAGGGAAATGCGCAGGGGCACACCAACCCGTAAATCGTCTTAGCCTCACTCGTTTTTAGATCTCATCCAGTGCTAATTTCTCCAGTCTGCTTCCGTTTGATAACATCTTTTAATTTATGTGCACTTCACCGGCCATGCAGCGCGTACAGCCCTCACCGCGTGCAGCGCGTAAAAGCGAGTGGCTCCGGAGCGCCCTGGCACACCACCACTGCTCCGATCCTGGAGTGGAGAACGAAATCGTTGTCTTGGCCACTGGAATAGACCAATATCTGCAAGAAGTCTTCCACCACCTGGCCTTCCCCAGCCGGGACGATACTGTGTCGGCGAAAGATTTCACTGCGCTCTGTGCCGTTCTGGGACTGAACAGAGCTGAGGCAGGAAAGAAAACTGCGACCGTAAAGGAAACAGCGGGAGCTGGAGAACGAGAAGAGGAAGATGAAGAGTTTAGAGATATATGCTCCGAACTTCCCAGCCAGCTCTCTTTCAAAGAATTTCACTCACGGCTCTGTGGGTATTTCCGTGTGCGCAGTGCGCGTAGAGGTACCGGGGAGTGTGCCTTGCGTCTGCCCGTTAGCGAGGATACAGAGCTGGTAGAGAAACAGATCCGGCTTCGGTGGCCGCGAGTTAGGCGGAGAAAGTGTGTCAGTTTTGATCTGACAAAGGACCAGAATGGATCAGTCAACACATCTGTGAAAGGTCGGACCTCAGAGCACCGTGAACCAGGTACTGGAGAAGGAGGTCTGTCTTATTTGTGCATTTTAATACCCCCGTAGATCGATGATGGAAGCAAGAACATTTCAAATCCCTGTTTGGCGGGGGGCAAACTGGGCTTTTGGGCACAAGCGTTTTAAAATTGTTATCTTTTTATATGTTTTCCTAAAGAAAGTTTAATTTGCAGCTTCATTCAGGGTTTCCTCCACTGATCTTAATTGTCACCTTGCACACAAAAACTCTGTAACATTATTACAACGTTCATATTATAAATCAGGCTTTAGTTAGCGTAGGAGACATGGTTTATAGTTTCATGTTCTGTAATAAGTAATCTGAGGTACTGGCTCCACAAGACAGAAGAATGTCATCACTGTTGTAGATAAGAAAAAAGTATTTATCCATTGTGATGTTTTTTTTCATTCTTCTCTTTATGTTTTTGATAAAGTTTTGGAACATTCAACTTCTTTGTGTCTCAAACTGTTTTAAAAATGAAATAATGAGAGAAGTTTAGATTAGATTAGATGAAACTTTATTAATCCCTCTGGTGGGTTTCTCCGGGAAATTCAGTAGTAGTTTAGTAGAACTGTCATCCACTTATCGGCATATAAAACATGACAAGCAGCTCAAACTAGATGCTGAGTATCAAAAAGGATGAAGAGAATCTGTCTTAATAGTTATCATGTTTATCTTTATTTAAAATCTTCTACATATTTAGCGTTTTTGCCAGACAGGTATAGTGGAGTAAATAATAATCCTCTCTAATGAAAAGAAATATGCAGCAGAATAAAATGAAAATACACACATTTCACTGTTAAAGTTCACCTATAAAGGTTATTAATGTAAAACTGTGGATATATTATTATGCACATATTAGTAAAAATCTTGCACTACATATATTATGTGTTACCTCAGTGTAAAAGAGTCCCACTTAGATTATCAGT